TTTTGAGATTAAAGTTAGAATTTTGAGATTAAAGTTAGAATTCTGAGAAAAAAAGTTAGAATTCTGAGATTTAAGTTAGAATTCTGAGATTAAAGTTAAAATTCTGAGAAAAGTCAGAATTCTGAGATTAGTCAGAACTCTGAGAAAAAAGTCAGAATTCTGGGAAAAGTCAGAAGTCTGAGATTAAAGTTAGAATTCTGAGAAAAAAAGTTAGAATTCTGAGATTTAAGTTAGAATTCCGAGAAGTCAGAATTCTGAGATTAAAGTCAGAATTCTGAGATTTAAGTTAGAATTCTGAGATTAAAGTTAAAATTCTGAGAAAAGTCAGAATTCTGAGATTAGTCAGAACTCTGAGAAAAAAGTCAGAATTCTGGGAAAAGTCAGAAGTCTGAGATTAAAGTTAGAATTCTGAGAAAAAAAGTCAGAATTCCAAGATTAAAAGTCAGAATTCTGACTTTTTTTTTTCTCATATTATACTGAAATAAAATTTTAAAATATATTTTTAAATTAAATAAAATTAAAAATATATATATATCTTTTCAGTGGCCCTAATCACCTTCCGTAAGGACCAGCATGCATCTGGGCGGGCGTATGTTTTTACCAGCTGAAGTGAAACATGAAGGAAATGTTTGTCTTTTTGTGTTTGCTTGCCTGAGGAGAAAATAAACCGAGAAAACTAAAGCAGTTTACCTGGAACATTTTTTTCTTTTGCCTGAGTAAAATTAGTCCATGGAGCATCTGTGGCCTTTTTTGTCTCATCAAAGCTGGGCCACAACACTGTTATTATTAATAAATGGTACTTAGCTCCTTCATGAAGACAGTGGTGGAATTTAATGAATAGAAACCAACTATAACAATTCTGCTGTCTAAACCTCATTTAAAGCCTCATCATAATAAAGTGCAATAATCTCTAAACTAGTGTTTTCTTATTTCTAACTCCTCTGTTGTTTCCTTGATTTCTCATTTTAAAGTAGTATCTGTCCTGACATGCTGATCAGTCACACAGGGAGATTCACATGTATATAAAAGTCAAATAAAGTGTTTCTGTACCTTGAATTTCTCCTCTGGACTTAGATTGATTTTTATTTCCAGATTTTCAATCTGCCTTAATTTCTTCTGCAGCTTTCTCACCTCCCCCATCTGAAGCTCTAAAGGTGTTTAAGGCCCCGCAGGTCGGCTCAGATTATAAATACTGAATCTAAGGGTTCATAAAGTCTCACGTGCACGATATGTGTGATGATAAACGCCTCTGATTAGTCTGGATGTATCTGAAGGATTATCGCTCTGTCTGAGACGTGTCGCCGGATGTTGACGTTCCACTGAAAACAGTAAAACTGCCCCACAGCGACACCCAGTGGCAAAGAACTTGTTTTCACATTTCGCGAAAGCTGTATACCAAAGTCATCTGTATTAAGACAATAAAAGACCTGAAATATGTCAGTTTGTGGGCAATGAATCTTAAATATATGAATGTTCAAGTTTTATCATTACATTATGGAAAATAATTAACTTTATCACAATATGCTAATATTTTGAGAAGAACCTGTATAGGGCTGCAACTAACGATTATTTTTGCATTATTTTTTTTTATTAATTGATTAATGATCAGATAGCAAAAGGTTCCTTAATGAAGACTTTTTTATGAAATGAAACCAGCTGAAACTAAAACTTTCCCACTTGAAAAGGTTCTGCATAGGGCATATTGACATTTTTTTTATCTTAAATGCAAAATGTTAATATATTTTCTTTACAATTTTGGTATAACTGCTCAAGGGTTTGTTGCTCTGTCAGCTAAAGACATGTTTTACAAATCAATAACTAAATTAGTTGGTGATTATTTCAATAATCAATCAATCACGATAATTGTTTTCAGTCCTAAAATTGTATTTAACTTCCTGTTGAAATTCGCTTTCATTACTTAAGAAAATTACTTGTGAACTAAGAGGATGGAGGGCCGAATTTTCTTGATTTTACAAAATAATAATAATACTTTCAAGATGAATTGGTGGAAATCATGCGTTAAAAAAACATCCTCCATTTGGAATATTTTCCTAAATTACATGATTCATATTTAGTTGTTGTCAGTTTTTTTCATCCTCTGTAATTACAACAAAGAAAAAATACCAGTTAAAAGCTGTGTATTTCACAAGCAGGCACTTCTTTCTTGGGCACTTATTTATAAAAAGTATTTTTTCCCCTCATAATTTTTTTGATTGGAATAACAATAACATTCTTCAGTCGTTATTTTACTCCAAATGGTTTAAAAATAAAGTCCTGTGGTAGGGCAGCTATTTGATGAAAATATTTGTCTACTAAGTATGAATGAGTTTGACGAGGAGAAATAACCTTGCTGTAACTCATAAAGATCATGATGTTGTGTTTGTTGTTGTTGTAACGAATTAAATATGTGAACTTTTAAGAGAGTTTTTGTTTAAAATAAACCTTTCTTAAACATACAATCATTGGTAAAGCTTGTTCTTCTTCAGCCTGAAAAACATAATGAAATTATTTGTCCTTTTTAACAAATGTGATTAGTGCACCTCCAGCTGTTTTCTGTTGGGAGGACTCTGCCCCAGATTCACAGTCAAAGCAAGTATAGACATTTCATCAGAAACTTTTGATAGACATCAAAATGAGAGATTATTTTTTGAACAGTTTTACCGGACTTACCATACAAACCAATATATGATGAAATATATTCAGAAATGTACCCCTATTTTACATCTTTCTAAGAGCATCCAGAAACTATCAGCATATATGTATATCTATATATATATATAGATATATATCTATATCTATATATATATATATCTATATATATATATATATATAGATATATATATCTCCATTTGGTTTGGTTTGCACGGGAAAAAGCCTAATATAAAAAGGAGACTTGCACTTAATCTAATCATAAATGTTGGCAAATTTCTTATTTATAAATATAAGTTCTCATCATCCTTATCCTGTTTTCAATATTGGTTAAAGAAATTGAATGATGTCTGTGCACTATTAGAATCCTACATTAAGAAAAGAAAAACAACTGTCATATTTAGATGCACTGTATATACTATATATATATATCCGATGCACCTTCATCTTTCTTTGGCAACGTCTTCTTCTCCTTTGACTATTTTAGCTGATGTAATGAGTAAACTTTCCACTGTGAGATCAATAAAGTCAATTCAATTATTCATTCAATCAATTTACAAAAGTACAAACAAAAAAACTATAATCAAATATATAGAAATGTTAATTCAATAATTTTATTATGTCTAATTTTTCTGTACTTAATGTCCAAATATCAATACCTATCCTACTGGCATGCCTTGTTACATGTTTTGTTTCTTTCGTTTATTTTCTAAACAAATATTTTTATTTATTGACAAAAACTAAGAATTTAAGTAATTTATTTATTCATATGTTTATATAAAAAAACAATTTATTAAATGCAGTCTATGACATTTGACACAGAATCGAATAACACTATTAAAAAGTAGATAATAACAAATAAAAATAAATGTTTCCATTTTTCTGTAAATCTATTAGTCAAAAGTAATCAGATAGTGAAAAGAAGAGTCATTTCAGATTGTTGGCTGTAATACCTTTTAATCAATCTTTTCACATTAAAAAAGCTTACAACTGCAGATGCAATTACTACTGACAGCTGTGGTGAAGATCAATCAATGAATCTTCATTTACAGACCAATCAGCTAATAAAACAAGGGAAAAACAAAGTGTTTTGCATCAAGGCAGAGCAGCAACACGCCATGAAAGAGCTAATGTGGTAAAAATTGGGTAAAAAGTACAAGAAATGTAAGTTGCATTAATTAAAATGATGCAGAAGTAGGCATAAAAGTTCAAGAAGCATAGAGCCTGAACTACTAAAAATGATAAAACCAAAACAGTAAAAGGAGGCTCTGATGGAAAAATATACAAGAAGCAATAACACAGTAGCAAAAAAAGAAAATCAATGACATTAAATCCTTTCAAAGTGAAACTAAGAGTGCAAAAAATAACAGTTCTACTACATCTAGTGATTGCTGATTTATTTTTATTTCAAAATATACAGCTTATAATGAGCAGTTACATCAGCGGTATGGAGCTCTGCAGAATACTATATATGAAGACAATGGTCCTGAATATCAGCATCATGGCAAAAAACATGAGCACAATGTGATTTACTGGATAGTGCCTTGCAAAAGTATTCCCATTTTGACATTACACATGACTGTTATAAAAGTAGCACATTGACATTCAGTCTCACTGAAATCAATACTACATAAATTCCAGCGGCGGTGTCCCTTTCAGATTGATAACTCAAGAGGCTGAATATTCTCTGCAAAACACCTCAGACTCAGACTGGATGAGGAACATCTAAAAAAATATATTTTAAAATCTTGTGACAGAATAAAAATGAACTTCCAGTGTGAACTTTGAATGGATGAATAACCATCCATTATGTTTCCCTGCTCATCAAGGTAAAGGAGGTGTGTTTGTCCTATCATCATTTCACCAAAAATTTTAAGATGTTTTTAAAATTCCCAACTACTTCTTTAAGATCATCTTAAAACAAACCTAGTAGAGAAACCTTACATGATTGGTTTAAAGTAGCTTATTTATCTAAAATGAATAATCATCAGCTTTTACATATTTATGCATATTTGCTTAAAAAATAATACTAAGAGTTTATTTATTCAATACATAAAGTTTATTGTTTGAATTGCATAATCATTAGGGTTACCTTAATGCAATTCAAACAATAGAATTTATGTACTTTAAATAAATACACTCATTAGTATTACTTTTGATTAAGTATATACTTTTTTAATTATAAATACATTTCTGCGATGGACTGGTGACCTGTCCAGGGTGTATCCCACTTTTCGCCCATTGACAGCTGGAGATAGGCACCAGCACCCCTCGTGACCCCACTTGTGACAAGCGTGTCAGATAATGGATGGATGGATGGAAATATATATAAACCTGATGATTATGTAAACCATTAAATAAGCTTTATTATATATATGAATATGTATCATGTAAGGTTATTTAATAGGTTTCTGTTAAAATTATTTTAAAAAAAAAGAAAATGTGATAATTTGTTATGCTAAAATTTTAAATCTTAAAATTTGTGTGAAATATTTACATGACTGTAGGGAGAATAGACCCTCTGGACACAAACAACCATGCACATACACACTACAGAAGAAGCCAGAGTACCTAATGGACATGTAGAAACGGATCTAAATGTTGCTCTCCTGGTTGCCTCTCTGACTAATCTATTTGCCCATATTATCAGATAAGGTGGTTGACCATATTTTGGTAGATTCCCAGCTGTAAGACGCTGTGTTGCATAAGATGTTCTCTTCTGCCCAGCTGGATCTTTCATCTGCCTGCTGTTTCTTTTTCCCTATGATGTTGCTGGTCAACTAAAATATACTATGGTGCTTCAAAAAGATAATAACTGGTAATTGTGAAGGGGTAAAAACACCTTCATTCCTTGCCAATAGGCTATCCATACTGAATTATTTTAAAGCTTAACTGTTGCTAATTGACCACAAAAGACTCACCAGAATGAAAAAAAAAATGTCCCCGATCAAGACAGTAGTATTACTGTTATTAAACTGCATATCATTTATTTTTGTACTTTATCTGTGTGCATTATTTTGTTATGACAAATCTCGTAAAAGGCATATGATATTCTAGCTGTATTGTGATAAAATGTGAAAAAAGACCATAGGCTTTCCATATTTTTCCAACTATACAGAAGGAACAAATGGGTAAACATTTATGATAAAATCTTTTTAGTATTGGAGCAAAGTAGAAGTCAAATTCCTTGCAAAAATGTGGGAATTAAAACTTAAGGTAAATAAACGTGCAACTGTAGTAAGAGAAGATAAAATGTAATGACAGTGTTTTTTTGTTTGCAGTGCTGTCATTGAAACTAAATGAATCTGCATGGATCCTTTGGTTCATCTATCATAACAGGAAGGGGTCAGAATCACTACTTCTGCTCCCATTTGGTCTTTTTTAAACACAACAATAAAAGTAATAGGGAGGGTGAATCAAATTGGACGTAAAATCTACAACCAAAATCACCGCAGCTCGCTGAAATGCTACAGAACAAAATATCTGTCAGATACAGGAAGTGACGTCAGCGCACACACGCTCCTTTTGTCTGACGACCTTTTCAGGAGGAAGTGAAGCTTAGACGAAGCAGCTAGCTAAGCGGAGGGAGAGAAAAAAAATAAAAAAAATAGTAAGACAGAGAGGAGGAGGAAACTTCAGCCACTATACAGGAATTTGATAAAGTTGGACCCCGAGAGTCCAGGTAGGTTCGAAGTTTCGGACCGGAGGACGGAACCGTCGAAAACCGGTAAACGTCGATGTTCATTTGTAATTTTCCCCTAATGTGTCCGACTGTGCTGCTGCCGCCTCTCCGCCACAGCCGGAAGTCTGAGGATGGTCTGGGTTTTTTTCGATTTTTTTTTATCCTATAGGTCTTTTTTTTTTTTTTTTTTTGTTATTTTTTTTTTTTTTTTTTTTTTTTTTTCAGTCAGGCAGGAGGAAAA